CAGCCGAGGAGCGGCAGCACAAAGCAGCCGCACTCGACGGCAGCAGTTTGCCGCAGGCAGCGACACCCTGCAGCTGCAGGCAGCAATGGCAGAGGTGCACTTCGGGCCTAGCGTCATGATGAACGCCTTCCAGCAGCATCTCCGCCCCGACCCCACACGCCGTCTCGACCTGCTTTCGCGGCTGGTAGGCCACGCGTCAGCCCTTGAGGAGGAGGAGGAGGAGGAGGAGGAGCAGGAGGAGGAGGAGGAGGAGGAGGAGGAGGAGGAGGAGGAGGGGAAGCGCGTGCGGGACGAGAAACGGCTCAAGCGTCGAACAATCGGCCTCGGCGGGCCCGTGGCGCGGCCTCGGCGGGCCCCTACAGAGCCCCAACATGGCCCCAAGACGGCCAGGGAGGCCGTTCAAACGGCTCGCGGCGGCCAGAAATCGTTGAATTGCGTTTTGTATGCCTTTGGCCTGGTTTTCAAATTCTCGCAATTCCGAGCCAAGAGCGGCCCAAGACGGCTGTTGGGGCCCCCCCGAACGCTCCAAGGCCGCCCAAGAGCTCCGGCAAGGGCCCCAACACGGCTCAGGAGGGCTCCAAGACGGCTCCCGGATGAGCCCAAGACGGCCGCAGAGAGTCCCAAGACGGCCCGATAGAGCCCCCAGGATACCCTAATTTGGCTCCAAGAGCTGCCCAAGAGGGCCCACAGAGAGCTCCGAGACAGCCCAAGAGCCCCAAAATAGCCCCAAGACGGCTCAACAGGCCGTCCAGACGGCTCGCGGCGGCCAAAAATCATTGATTTTTCTAAGGTTTTTGCCTGAGTTCCAGGTTCTCGCGATTTCGAGCTAAGAACGGCCCAAGACGGCTCTTGGGGCCCCCCACGACTGCTCCACGGCTCAAGAGGCTCGGGCAAGGGCCCCAAGACGGCTCAGGAGTGCTCCATGACGGCTCCCGGTGGAGCCCCAAACGGCCCAAGCGAGACCCAAGACGGCACGAGAGAGCCCCCGGAGCCCCCAGGGCGCCCAAGATGGCTCACAGAGAGCTCCGAGACAGCCCAGTTTCCGTGAATTTGGCCTTTACACGGCCCCAGGGGCCGTCAAGGCTTGCCGCGGCAAGCACTCTTTCGATTTCCTTATAGTTCCTGATCGTTTTCCACCTTCTCGCCATTTCGAGTCAAGACCGGGCCAAGACGGCTGCTGGCCCAAACGCTCCAAGGCCGTCCAAGAGGAGACAGAAAAGGCCCCACAACCACCCAGGAGGGCTCCAAGATGGCCCAGGAGGCGTCCAAGATGGCGCCCAAGACGGCCCGAGGGCCATCCGAGACAGCCCTTAGACGGCCCACGAGGCGCCTAAGGCGGCCTCAGTGGCCCCCAGGAGGCCGAAAGGACTCCCGAGGGGCCCCCGAATCGCTTCCAGGAGGCACCCAGAAGAGGCTCCAAAGCTGCTCTGAAGACACGGGCAGCAGACGAGAGACGAGAGGCTCATCGCACGGCCGAAGGAGTTGTTTTCCACGCTCCGAGGGCCTTGGCAAACAGGAGCAAATCGCAGGACCTGCAAGCAAACATCAAGCAAGCATCATGCAAACGTCAAGACGGTGCAGGCTAGACAAATCGCGCGCGCACTGGCGATGAAACGGCAGCAAACAACCGAGCGCAAAAAGCGACAGCAGACACACGCCACACGCTGACATTCTTTCATCCGTGGTCAGAGCCTATGGGTCAGTCCTCGTCACTTTGCAACCCTCTCAGATTACCCCAAGACGCCCCAGAAAGCTTCCAAGACGACCCCAACACGCCCCAAGCCGGCCCCAGGACGGCCCAAGAGAATCCCAAGACAGCCCGAAGAGCGGCCCAAGGGGCCCAAGACGGCCCCAAGACTGACCGAGAGGTGCCCGAGACAGCGCCAGGACAGCCCAAGAGACCCTCAAGAGGCAAACAGAAGCTCCCAGAGGCCCTGGATGCTTGTGCTCTTGGAAGCGTCGTCGTAGAAACGACGATTGGCACGATGGAACATCAAGGGGGATAATGGTTGAGGGACGGAGAAGGAGGAGGAGGAGGAGGAGGAGGAGGAGGAGGAGGAGGAGGAGGAGGAGGAGGAGGAGGGAACAGAAGCAACGGCGAGCAGCAGCTGCAGCAACAGCACGCGGTGACATCACCAGTACCAAGCAGCATCCTGCAGCAAACATCAGCAGGCAGGCGGCAACATCCACCACCTGGCAGAAGCTAGCACATGCAACAGTCCGTAGCAACCCGTTACCACAGGCGGCAGCAGAAGAAATACCAAACGGAAGGCCGCAAATGGCAACAAGCAGCACTCAGCAACAGCGAGCGGCTGTAGAAGGCACCGGGTAGGTGCAAGCACGCTTGCCCAGACACTGGTCGCAACCTCGAGCAGCTGTCGTGGACGTAGTCCACTGGTCGTTTTCCTCCTCCCCACGTTCTCGCCGACTTGCCTTGGTTGTGCCGGCCTCGGTGCGAAGCTGTAGCATCGAGGGGTCACCTTCCCATCAGTTGGGAAGCTGGCGATTTCTTGTTTCAAGTGCGCATGGCCCACACAGTTGTACTTATTGCAGCGTTTGAGAGGGACACTGCCCTTCCTGTACGGCCGCGCTTGGGTTGCAATACCAGGAACAGTGCGTGCGAGAGGGGCCTGTGCGTCAAGAGAGTCCCCCCGGGGGCGGCCCAGAGCGCCCTTTGAGCGCTCCTTAGGAGCCCTCTTGAGCGCTCCGGGACCCTTCGCCCCAGATGGCGCCAGGAGGGCCCCAGACGGCGCCCTGAGGGGTCCAGACGAGGGCTCCAGACGGTCCCTGCATGCGCGCTGAAGACGGCCCAAGACAGACGGCTTCAAGACTGCTCCACGGGGGTCCCCAGACGGGCCCAGCGCGGCCCAAGTCGCGCTCAAGACGGCCCACGACGACTCCAAGACGGCCCTGGGAGGGTGCCAACACGGCCACAGATGGGCCCGGGGCGGCCCAAGGAGACGGGGCAAGACGGCCCCCTAACGGCCCCAGACGGCTCCAAGACAGCCCCGAGAGAGTGCCAATACGGCACCCGATGGGCCCAGGACGGCCCACTGACGCGCCATAGGGACGGGCCCACGACGAACCAGGACGGCCCCACCACGGCACACGGCGCGCTCAAGACGGGCCTGGATGGCTCCAAGACGGCCCTTGGAGGGAGCCAACACGGCACCACACCCTTCGGGCGAACACTGGGGTCCGGGAGCTTGCGACAAGTTCACCTGGAGGCCTCCTCAGACCCTCTGGGCGAACAAGAGGAAACCCGGCGGGCCGCCAACCCTGGGGCCCGTGGGCCCCGCGCCGCTTGGGCAGAAGGCGAACGCTGTGTCTGACAGGCCAGTTACCGCCCCCCCTTTGCCCGATATGTTGTACCATTCTGTTCCCCCAGGGGCCTTGGCAAACTCTTCGGGCCAACCAGGCGCTAAGAAGCGGAAGAAAAGGACGCACACGATGATCGCTGAACACGCTAGATGACGGGGACGAGGTCCACGGGTTTACCCTAGTCTCTACTACATGGCCAGTGGATCTGCGTGCGAGAAGGGTTCACAGGGCCTCGTGTGCACAAAATCGCCTCGTGTGCCACCACGGGGCCGAATCGCTCAGGCCAGTCCCAGAGGCGCTCCAGAGGGGTTGCCAGACCGTCCAAGAGCGCTCCAAGACGGCCTCAGTGGGCCCCGAGACGGCCCACGAGGGCCCGAAGCCTTTCGGGGGGGGCTCCACGACGATCCAAGAGGTCGCAAAGACGCCCCACGCCAGAGAGCCTTGAAACGGCCTCACAGAACCCCAAGACGGCCCCAAGAGAGCTCCGAGGGGGCCCCAAGAGGCTCCCAAGACGGCCTCAGGCAGCCTCAAGAGAGCTCAAAGGCGGTCCAAGGCCTCCTGGACGCCCCGTGACGGCCCAAAAAGGTTCTAAAACGTCCCAAAACGCTCCCAGAGCATCCCAACAAAAACGTCAGAATGGCCCGAAAAAGACCCCCACAAGGACCACCAAGCAGACCCAGAGACGCCCACTAAGAGAGCGATCGGTGAAGTACAGAGCTCTTCTCACCAAGGCTCCCAAGAGCGAGACGCAGCGTAGAGAGCTCTCCCAGGCACAGCTCCCAAGTGCGAGCGGTGACGTCGGGACACCCTTCCGACATCTCACACAGGAGCACGCACGCACAGCACGCAAGCACAATAGATTTCCTGGGCTGGCCTGAAAGAGGCTCGGGGGGACAGCCCGGGAACGGCCCCAGAGGCGCCCCAAAAAATTCAAGAGAAAAGGTCCCTAAGAGGCAGCAAGACGGCCCAAGAGAGCCCCAAGAGGCCCCTAGGAGGCCGCAAGACAGCCAACGAGGCCCCAACAGGCCCCCAGGAGCTCGAAAAGAAACCCCGAGAGGCCCACTAACCGTTCCCAAGGAGACGGCAGCGCCAGCAATCAGGCTTCGAAGAGGCAGCCGGAAAAAAGTCACCAGAGCCCTCTGGGTGACTTTTTTCAAGGCCCCAGGTGCTTTCAAAATTGACAAGCGGCGAGACGTACACCGCAGACCCACCATAGCCGTCTGTGACGTTCCGAAGGCTGTCTAGGCGGAGGTAGAGCGGAAGGCGGACGAAGAGAAGGAAGCGGTCCAAGAAGGCCTCCGAGACGGCCCAAGACCGCTCGAAGACGCTCCAGACGAGCCGCGGCAAACGAAATCATTGATTCTTCTATGGTTTCTGAAAGATGTCCACCTTCTCGCCATTTCGAGCGAAGACAGACCCAAGACGGCCTTTTCGAGCCAAGACTGGCCCAAGATGACGTGGACGAAGTCCACGAGTTCGCCCTAGTCAGCTACAGCGCTGCGATCAGCGCGTGCGAGAAGGGTGAGCAGTGGCGGCGGGCTCTTGCACTGCTATGGGAGATGCGGGAGGCAACGTTGGAGCCCAACGTCATCAGCTACAGCGCTGGGATCAGCGCGTGCCAGAAAGGTGATCAGTGGCATTTTGCCCTGATGCTGCTGAGCGAGATGTGGGAGATGGAGCTGGAGCCCGACGCTCTCAGCTACAACGCTGGGATCAGCGCGTGCGAGAGAAGCGAGCAGTGGCCACGGGCTCTTGCATTGCTCAGCGAGATGAGGGAGTCGAAGTTGGAGCCCGACATCATCAGCTACAGCGCTGTGATCAGCGCTTGTGAGAAAGGCAAGCAGTGGCAGCAGGCTGTATCACTGGTTAGCGAGATGTGTGATGCGAAACTGGAGCCCGACGTCATCTCTACTATTTTGCAGAGCTCTGCGCATGCCAGAAGTGCGGGCGGCACGATTCTGCCCTCCGGCGCCCCGGCGGACCCTGCGAGCCCCAGCAGGCCCCGGCGTGTTCCAGGATGGCCCAAGAGCACCCAGAGACGTCACCCGATGCCCCCAAGAGGGGCTCAGGACAGCCCAAGACGGTCCCAGAGAGCCTCCGAGACGGTCCAGGACCACTCGCAGACGCTCAAGATAGCCTCCAGACGGCCCAAGAGGCTCCCAAAACGCTCCAAGTGGGCTCCAAGAACAGCCCCAAGAGAGCCCGAACAAAGAAGCATCGCCCCAATCGTTCGGGAAAACTGACGTTTCACGATTCCCGTGCTTCTCGTTGTCTCGACGTCCAAGACGCCCATACCCGCCCCCAACATCGCCCCAAGACGCTTCAGAGGGCCCGCAGGAGAGCCCCAAGGCAGCCCATGAAACCCCCAGGACGGCTGCCGAGGCGCCAAGGAGGATCCCAGAGCCACCCATGACAGCACCAAGAGCGGCCAAAGACGGCCCCAGACGGGCCCAAGGCGGCCCCAAGACGATTCCAGAGCCACCCATGACAGCACCAAGAGCGGTCCCAAGACGGCCCAAGGGGCACCACACGCGGCCCAAGAGGGCCCCAGGAGGCCCCCAGGAGGCCGCAAGACGGCCCGAGAGGGCCCTGAGAGGCCCCCAGGAGGCCGAAAGGAAGTCCAAGGCTCCCGACCGGCTCCCATGCAGCAGGACGTGCCCGCCGTCAGGCTTCGGAGATGGAAGCGGGAGAGAGTCAGCAGAGCCTTCGGGGCGCACCCCCCACATGGCTCGTGCCCGCGTCGTAGGGAGAGCGGTGCCCTTCTCCGTGGGTGCGGGCGCGAGAGCGCAGAGGCAAGCGGACATCACGAGGCAGATGGGTGGCCCTGGCTTCGGTTGGCGTGCTCCCGAGAGGCCGCCCAGGCGATGGACGAGGCACGGTGCCAGACTGCGCCCAGGCTCGGGGCGGTTGAAACCAGCGGAGGCCGAACTGAGACACCCACAGTTAGTTAGCCTGCAGGGGCCCCCCCCTCTTCACCGCAGCTGGACGCAATGGAGCTAACTGGTGCGTGCCGAGCCTGAGAGACTCTCGGAACCAGTTTGGGCCCAGGTTTTATGTTTTCTGTGCCTCAACCCGACCTGCTCGGAATCACAGTCATCTCTATGTACTACATTGCAGGGACCAGTGCATGCGAAGAGGGCGGGCGTCCGATACGCGTTTTCGGCGCCCCGGCGGCCCCTGCGAGGCCCAGCAGGCCATGGTGCTCCAACAGAGCCCCAAGGCGTCCCAGGACGGTTCAGGAGTGCCTCCGAGACGATTCGAGAGCGCTCGAAGACGCTCAAGATAGCTCCCACACGGCCCAAGAGGCCCCCAAAACGTTCCAACTGGGCTCCCAGAAGACACCCGACCGAGCTCGCACAAGCAAACATCGTGTCAATCCCGAGGGAAAACGCACATGTTCATACTTCCCGTGTTTTCGTTTGCAAAGCGTTCCAGACAACAATACAGGCCCCCACGATCGCCCCAAGACGCCTCAGGAGGGCCCCAGCAGGCCTCCACGACGGCCCCAGACGGCCCCAGGACGGCTCCTGTCGCGCCCATGACAGCCCAAGACGCAGTCAAGACAGCCCCAAAGAGCAGCCAAAGATGGCCCAAGAGGGCCTCCAGACGGTCTCAAGACGGCACTACAGGCGCCGAAGACAACCCCAGGCCCCAAGACGGCCCAAGAGGGCCCAAGAGGGCCCCAGGAGGTCGCAAGACTGCCCGAGAGGGCCCCAACAGGCCCCCAGGAGGCCGCAAGACAGCCCGAGAGGGCCCCACGAGGCCCCCAAGCCGTTCCCAAGGAGACGGCTGCGCCCGCCATCAGGCTTCGAAGAGGCAACTTGAAAAGTCACAGGAACCCTCCGGGTGACTTTCTTCAAGGCCACCGGTGCATTCAGAATTGACAAGCGGCGAGACGCACACCGCAGACCCACTATAGCCGTCTGTGCTCCGAAGGATGTCCAGACGGAGGTAGAGCGGAAGGCGGGCGAAGAGGAGGAAGCGGTCCAAGGGGGTCTCTGAGACAGTTCAAGTGCGCTCTGAGACGCTCAAGGTAGCGTCCAGACGGCCCAAGAGGCCCCCACAACGCTCCAAGTGGGTTCCCAGAAAACGCCCAACAGAGCCCGCATAAGCGCGCAAATCGTCCCAATCGCTGGGGAGAACATGAATTTTCGTCGTTCCCGTGTTTTTCATGTTGGAAGCGTCCAGAATGACAACACAGGCCCCCAAGATCGCCCCCAGACGCCTCAGGTGGGCCCCAGCAGGCTTCCACGACGGCCCCAGACGGGCCCAGCACAGCTCTTGTGGCGTTCATTACAATCCAAGAAGCAGTCAAGACAGCCCCAAGGTCGGCCAAAGATGGCCCAGGAGGGCCTGCAGACGGTACCAAGACGGCCCCGCAGGCGTCCAAGACGGCCCCAGACGGCCCTAAGAGGCACACAAGACGGCCCAAGAGGGCCCCAGGAGGACCCCGGGAGGCCGCAAGATGGCCCAAGAGGGCCCCAAGAGGCCCCCAGGAGCCCGAAGCGAAACCCCGAGAGGCCCCCAAACAGTTCCCAAGGAGAAGGCAGCGCCCGCCATCAGGTTTCGAAAAGGCAACCGGGACAAAGTCACCAGAGCCCTCCGGGTGACCTTTTTCTAGGCCCCAGGTGCTTTCGAAATTGTTCAAACCAGGGGGAGCAGACAAGCGGCGAGAGGCACACCGCAGACCCACCACAGCCGGTTGTGACGCTCGGAAGGCTGTGCAGGCGAACGTGGAACGGAAGGCGGACGAAGAGGAGGAAGCGCCCGCATTCCATTTTTGGAAAGGCGTCCGAAAAACATCACCGAAGGCTTCGGGGTGACTTTTCCCTGGGCAGGGGCCCAACGTGGAGGCGCGTCAGGGTGACCTGCTGGTCGTGGACGAAGTCCACGGGTTCGCCCTAGTCGATATTCTAACGCCGGGGGAGCCGCGTGCCAGAATGGCGGGGGACCCAGTGGGCAAAACCGCCCTCGGGCGGGCCCAGACGAACCCCGGACGGCCCAAGAGGCCCCACGACAGCCCAAGAGGAGCCCAAGACGGCTCCAAGAGCAGCTCAAGACGGCCCAAGACGGCCCCAAGGCTGCCCAAGAGGCGCCCAACTGGCCCCAAGACGTCCCCAGAGGCGCCCAAGACGGCCCTGGAGGACCTCCCAGGAGAGCCCCAAGAGGCCAAAATCTTCCCATTCCCTTAGGAAAACGCGCATTTGGGGCATCATCGTGCTTTTCGTTTCCGACGCGTCCACGACTGCCATAGAGGCCACCAAGATCGCCGCAAGATGCTCCCATGAGGGCCCCACGACCGCCCACGACTACCCCAGGACGGCTCCTGAGGCGCCCCTGGCGGCCCACGGGGTACCCAAGACAGCCTCAAGAGCGGCCCAGGACGGCCCAAGACGACCCCCCGACGGTGCCCAGACTGCTCCAGAGACGCCCAAGGCGGACGCAGGCAACCCCCAGACGGCCCCGACAACGCCTCATATGGCTTGCAGGCGGCCCAAGAGGCTTCCAATACGCTCCAAGTGGGCTCCACGACGAGCCCCAAGAGAGTCCTAACACCGAAAAGTAGTCCCATTCCCTCGGGGAAACATACATTTTGGCAGTTCCCGGGCTTGCCCTCTCTTCGTTGCGTCAAAGACGGACATACAGGGTCCCAAGATGGCCCTAGGACGGCTCCTGAGGCGCCCCTGGCGGCCCACGGGGTACCCAAGACAGCCTCAAGATTGGCCCAGGACGGCCTTAGACGACCGCCCGACGGTGCCCAGACTGCTCCAGAGACGCCCAGGGCGGACCCAGGCAACCCCCAGACGGCCCCGACAACGCATCAGATGGCCTGCAGGCGGCCCAAGAGGCTTCCAATACGCTCCAATTGGGCTCCACGACGAGCCCGAAGAGAGCCCGTGGGCTTGCCCTCTTCATAGCGTCCAAGACGGCCACACAGAGGCCCAAGATGCCCTAGGACAGCTCCTGAGGCGCCCCTGGCGGCCCACGGGGCACCCAAGACAGCTTCAAGAGCGGCCCAGGACGGCCTGACCGCCAGACGGTACCCAGACTGTTCCAGAGACGTCCAAGACGGCCCCAGACAACCCTCAGACGGCCCCGGACCGCCTCCACACGGCCAGAGAGGCACCCGAGACAGCCCAAGCCCAGGAGGCTTCCAGGAGGCCGAAAAGAAGCGCTGAGAGGCTCCAAAACAACCCCCAGGGGCCCCAAGATCACGGCCCAAGAAGCACCGAAGACAGCACCAACAGCAGCCAAAGACGGCCTAAGACGGCCACAGACGGTCCCAAAACGGCTCCCGGCGCACCATGGGCCTCTGATGCTTGTCTGGCGCTCCCTGCCGGATTTGGCCTCAAAATCCCTCGCCCTTTGTGTCGGTCTGGAGCCCTCTCCGCGGCCTCTTGGGGCCATGCCGTGTTTCGCTTTTTTGGTGGCTCAGAATCGCCTCGGCCGACCCCGGAAGCGCGCGCGGCCGCCCAGGGCGCGTCGGGCGGGATTCTGGGACGGCGGCGCGGTGGCCCAGAATCGGTCCCGCCGATTCTCGGCGGGCGGCCATTATGGAGCTATCTTGGAGGCGTGCTGGTGATCTTGGGGCCTCTCGGAGGGCCCCCAGACGGCCCCAGAACGCCCCGAGAAGGTCGGAGCCAACGCCACGACAAAGCCCGACCCGATCCCAAGGGAGCCCTTGATGAGCGCCCCAGGTCGGGCGTCCAGACGCTCCTCCGTCTCCTCGCTCGGCGATGTGTGGCAGGCGAACATTCAGGAGAGGAAAAAACACACAGACACAATTAATCTTCGATTCCCCAGAAAATATGGGAAAATATGGGAATTGGGCGGGAAGACAAAAACCCAGAACATATAGGAAAATATGGGGAATCATTTTATTTGTGTGTATTTTTTTGTGTGTCCTTGGGCCCCTTGAAACATGACGCCATTCATCCTGATTGCCTTGCAGCAGCGGCCCTTCACCCCGCAAGTGGACGCAGTCCACGTGCCAGCCCTAGTCTCTCCTACATGGCCGGTGGAAGCGCGCGCGAGAAGCCCATGGCCTCAAGTGCACAAAATCGCCCCTCGACGGCGCCACCACGGGGCCGAATCGCTCAGGGCGAACAAGAGCCGAATCGCCTCCTCAGACCCTCTGGGCGAACAAGAGGAAACCCGGCGGGCCGCCAACCCTGGGGCCCGTGGGCCCCGCGCCGCTTGGGCAGAAGGCGAACGCTGTGTCTGACAGGCCAGTTACCGCCCCCCCTTTGCCCGATATGTTGTACCATTCTGTTCCCCCAGGGGCCTTGGCAAACTCTTCGGGCCAACCAGGCGCTAAGAAGCGGAAGAAAAGGACGCACACGATGATCGCTGAACACGCTAGATGACGGGGACGAGGTCCACGGGTTTACCCTAGTCTCTACTACATGGCCAGTGGATCTGCGTGCGAGAAGGGTTCACAGGGCCTCGTGTGCACAAAATCGCCTCGTGTGCCACCACGGGGCCGAATCGCTCAGGCCAGTCCCAGAGGCGCTCCAGAGGGGTTACCAGACCGGCCAAGAGCGCTCCAAGACGGCCTCAGTGGGTCCCGAGACGGCCCACGAGGGCCCGAAGCCTTCCAGGGGGGGGTCCACGACGATCCAAGAGGCCGCAAAGACGACCCAAGAGGGCCCCGAGCGCACGCCAAAGAGGTACAAATCGTCAAATTCCTATGGTGAAGCGTATATTTTCAGCATGCCCGCCTTGTGAGCTCCTCAGCGGCCCAGGACACGCCAACAGGCCTCCCAAATCGCCTCAAGAAGATGCTATCGGCCCCTAAGAGGGCCCCAAGACGGCCCACAAGAGCCCCAAGACGACGCCAGAGAGCCCTGAAACGGCCTCACAGAACCCCAAGACGGCCTCAAGAGAGCTCCGAGGGGGCCCCAAGAGGCTCCCAAGACGGCCTCAGGCAGCCACAAGAGAGCTCCAAGACGGTCCAAGGTCTCCCAGACGCCCCGTGACGGCCCAAAATGGCCCCAAACGTGCCAAAACGCTCCCAGAGCAGCCCCACAAAACTTCAGAATGACCCGAACAAGACCCCCACAAGGACCAACAAGCATGCCCAGAGACGCCCATTAAAAGAGCGATCGGTGAAGTACAAAGCTCTTCTCACCAAGGCTCCCAAGAACGAGCCGCAGCGTAGAGAGCTCTCCCAGGCACAGCTCCTCAGAGCGAACGGTGACGTGACCAGCCCTTCACACAGGGGCTCTCAAAAGCGAAGGGCGCCATGAGCCATCGCGGGCCGATTCCTGAATCGCCCCTTTCGTTCCCGTGCCCGCGCAGGTCTCGCCGCTTGCTATGGACGTCGTCCTCAGGCCAGGTCTTGCCCCTCTGAAGGCGCGACATCGACCCACCCCGGCTCATGAGAACGCGAAGGAGGAACGGAGGAGGAGGAGGCGGAAGAGCAGGAGGAGCTGCGGGAGGACGGCGAGGAACTCCAGGATGGGGAGGAACGCGAGGAGGAGCCCTCCGCCTCCTCGGGCCCAGCGAGAGGAAGGGCGTGCGGGGAGCTCGAGGACGAAGTCCACGGGTTCGCCCTAGTCAGCTACAACGCTGGGATCAGCGCATGCGAGAAAGGCGAGCAATGGCAGCCGGCGCTGCTGCTGCTAAGCGAGATGCGGGAGGCGAAGCTGGAGCCCGACGTCATCAGTGGGGAACTGCGTGCCAGAAGGGTGGGCACTGGGACGCGGGTGAAGTGGCCCACATCGCGGGCCTAGCGGGCCCTGGCGGGCCCGGAGACGGTTACAGATGGCCCGAGACGCTAACCGACGGTCCAAGCAAATGCCGATATGGCTTCAGACGGCCCAGCAGGGCCCACAGACAGCCCAAGAGGGCTCCCAGTGGCCCCCCAAGAAGAGCCCCAAGAAACCAAAATCAATGATTTCCCGAGAGTTTCTGAAGGGTTTCAGTGTCCTCGCCTTTTTGGAGTCTCGACGCTTCAAGACGGCCCCAGAGGCTCCCAAGATCGCTCCAAGACAGCCCGAGAGGCCCCCAGAATGGCCCAGGACGGCCCCGAGAAGGCCCCACAAGGGGGAACTCGAACTGACATGTCGCGCCCTCCGCTCCAAGGATGAGCCCAGAAACCGCCATCTGGCGCCCAAAAGGCTTCCCAGACGCGAGAGCTCTGGGACCGCGCCCGCCACCCAGGAAAATGAGGCGCCAATGCGCCTCGCATTTGGTCTTCCTCCTGTTTGCCAAGGCTCTGTTCTGGATGGGTGAAACGAAACATCCGGGAGTTCTCCCTGAAAGTGCTCCGGACAGGCCGGCTATTGGGGGCATGCCCCGCAGTGCCTTCAATCTCATCCTCCGGTCCACGCAGCCCGCGCGCATCCTCCGACCTCTTCGGGCGGCCGCAGCCACCACGGAACCCTGAAGCCCGCCGTCAAGAGGCTTCCGAGGGAGGCCGCCTCAGGAAGCGCTGGGACCGCGCCTGCCAGCAAGGAAGATGAAGCCCTCACGCGCCTCTCATTTCATTTCTTCGTTTGCATCGGCCCCGGTCGGAGCTCATCCTTCGACCTCCTCGGGCGGCCACACCATGGAGCGACGTTGGAAAAGGAGGCCCACACTTTGTGGGCCCCGGAAACGGCAGGGCCGTTTTTTCACCGTGTCCGAAAAACATGTCCCTTGAACATGGAAGCGGCAGAACCACGGCGACCGGAAACGGCAAAAGAACGGCTCCAGGATTGGACCCGGAGCCGGAACTGGTCAAAAAACGGCGACGGAACCGGTAAAAACGCGGCATCGGAACCGACAAAAACACGGCAAAACGGAACCGGTGTGGCCCCGTCGTTTCCAGGGCCCACCAAGGGCCCACATACTTATGTGTCTTTACTTCATCGCTTCTCTCCCTCCGCCGGCCCATTTCGCATCACTATGGCTGCGTGGTGGTGTGCTCGTGCCCTGGGGGAACGGTAGGGATGGCAGGACCGTCCTCGAGGAGATCTTTGGAGGTGCGGCTCGTGCCCTGTCGAAGAGAGCCGATAGACTGCCCCAGAGGGCGCCAAGATGGCTCAAGGGAGATCCAGCAGAGTATCGAGACGTGCCTGGGTTGTGGGTCAAAGTCCTCATGGAGGCTTCTCGGAGTCTCTTCGGAGGGCTCTCGGGAGCCTCTGGGGAGCAGTTTTGAAGCTTCTGGGGGGCCTCTTAGGAGCTCCTTGGGGGCCTCTTCGGGCTTCCTGGGGGCCCGTTCGGTGCCTTTGCAGCTTCTTTTTGGGGCCTCTTTGGGGGGCTCTTGGGGCATCTGGGGGCTTCCTGGGCGCCTCTCGGGGTCGAGAGCTTGCAATGTTTTTCGGGTTCCCCCTCTGGGCCCCCCTCTTGGGGCCATCCCGGGGCCGTCTTGGAGGCCTCTTGGACCGTCTTCGGGCCATCCTGGAGGCGGTCGGCAGCTCGAATGAGGCGCCACCGCCCAAGTCGTCCGACAACTGGAGCAAGACCCAGGAGTGTCAAGTCCTCGGAGCCTCCCGAAGTCCTCTTGGAACCCTCCTGGGGCGTCTTGGGCGCCTCCCGGGCCGCCTCGGGACCAGCGTGGGCCACCTGGAGCGCGCGCTGCCCGAGGCCACGGGGCGTGCCGCCTTCTGGCGCCTCAGCGGAGCGCTCGGGGGGCCCCGGAAGGGCCGCGCCCGGGAGCCCGGGCCTCCTCCTCCTCCTCCTCCTCCTCCTCCTCCTCCTCCTCCTCTTCCTCCTCCTCCTCCTCCTCCTCCTCCTCCTCCTCCTCCTCTTCCTCCACCTCCTCCTCCTCCTCCTCCTCCTCCTCCTCCTCCTCCTCCTCCTCCTTCGCACGGCCCTTGGCGCGGCCCCCCTTCGCGCGGCCCCTCGGGCAACCAGTGGCGGCTCAAGATCACCCCCGGGCCGCCCAACTCGCCCCCGTTGCCCCCCCGAAGGTAGGCAGCAATGGCACGCAGAAGCGGTGAGCATCAGCGCCGCAACGCCGCAACGGCATCAAGCAGGAGCACGCAGCCCTGGAGGCCCTGGCTGCGTGGACGGTTTCGCCAACGCAGCGGTGGAGCATGCGAGCACCTGCACTTTTGGAGGCATCTTAGGCCATCTCTGAGCACCCTTGGGGATACCAAGGCCGGTGTGCGAGTCCTCCAGGGCCATCTTGTAGCCATCAGGGGCCGCATCGGTCAGGGGCCGCATCGCGCCGTCTGGGATCCCTGGAGGCCATGGCTTCGTGGACGATTTTGTCCACGCAGCGGCGGAGCATGCGAGATCCCGGAGGCATCTTGGGCCATCTCTGAGGCCTCTTGGGGCCGTCAAGGTGGAGCTAACCCAGCCGCGACGCCCACCTAGGACGACAAGGACAAAAGTGGCGACTGCGACCGCGACTCCAACTTTATCCTGAAAGCATGTCGGCAACATCTCCGCCAAGACCCCACCAGTCTCGCCAACTAGCTTTCGGCGTCGGGAGTCCACGGGTTGGCCCCATCAGCTACAGCGCAGGGATCAGCGCGTGCGAGAAAGGCGAGCAGTGGCAGCGGGCGCTGGCGCTGTTGAGCGAGATGCGGGAGGTGAAGCTGGATCCCAATGTCATCAGCTACAGTGCTGGAATCAACGCGTGCGAGAAGGGTGGGCAGTGGCAACAGGCGCTGAGCATGCTCAGAACCATGCGTTTGAGAAAGTTGGACGTTGGCTTCACGATCTACGGAATTACAGCCAGCATGTGCGAGCAAGGCGGGCAATGGAGCCAAGTGCTGTTTTTATTCAGGGAGGTGCGTGACCTGGTTACAGGGAAATGATACAATACATGCCGTGCTCGATACATTTTTCTGTGCGGTTGCATCGCGTGGGACCAGCGCGTGGGAGATGGGCGAGCAATGCCTGATTGCTTTAGCGCTGCTCAGCGAGGTGCGGGAGGCGAAACTGGAGCCCGAAGCTAACTATACTACGATAACAGGCTCAGCGCGTGCCAGAGGGAGCATTCAATTCGCCCGCCGGGCCCGCGGTGGCGGCGCCGCCGTGGCCACTTGCCCCGAGAGAGCCCCGCGAGTGGCCCCAGAGGCCCCCAGAGCGCCTCTCTGCCGCACAAGAGGGCCCCCATATGGCCGAAGAAGGCCCCCCACCAGGCTCAACCAGGCTCCCAGGTAGCCTCCGAGAGGGCCACGAGGATGCTCCCGCATTTTTCGCCTAAGTGGCGTGTCTCTTCCCTGCAGTCCACGCCCGCATGTGCTGTATGGCGCCCCTCTTGTGTCTCATGCTCGGCCACGTCGGGCAGGTCGCTTCAGGCTGGCGTGTCGCCCCCCTGTCATACACGTCCAGATGGCGCTGTATGGCGCGTGCGTGCTGCGAAATCCAATTCGATTCCTGAGGGCCCGGCCGCAGCTCCGCTCTTCGTGCTCTTGCTGCCTCCGCCTCGTCGCCGCGCGCGAGGCCGCTGCAGCCAAACGTGTGTGTGTGTGCGTATGTGTGTGTGCGTGTGTTTTTGTGTGTGTGTGTGTAGACGCGCGTGCGCGCCTGCTTCTCTGACCTTTCTACGCCCTGTCGCTACGCGCCGGGCCGCGACGCCAAAAGTGTTTGTGTGTGTGTGCGTGCGTGTGTGTGTGTGTGTGTGTGTGTGTGTGTGTGTGTGTGTGTGCGTGTGCGTTGTGATGTGCGTTGAGTGTTGTGTGTTGTTTGTTGCGCGTTGTATATTGAGTGCTGTGTGTTGTGTAAGAGTGTGTGTGTGTGTGTGTGTGTGTTTGTGTGTAATGCAACGCTGTGGCGACGACGGCGAACATCCGTGGGGGAAAAACAGTAATTCTCTCGCCGCCAGGAGCGCTATTCCTGTTTCCTTCCCGAGAGAGGACGGCGGGGAGGGGGGTCTTATTTGAATTTCAGCACCACCATTACAAAACGGCCTCAAGACGTTCCCAAGCAGCAGAAGGCCGTAAACGGCAGCACGCGGCAGCGAGCGGACAAGCAAGCAACAAAGCAAGCAACGGATAAATCAGGTGATCGGGCCACGAGTTTCAAGTCCGGCATTCGCTGGCAGGATAACGAGCGCATGGGGTCGTACAGCAAGCGACCCCACCTGTGCATGCAAGTATGCTTCGTCGTCGCCAGGGGAATGTTTGAACAGATCAGGCCGCCTTGCCGAGGACGTAGTCCACGGGTCAGACCCCAGTCAATCATATTGCTTGGGCCAGCGCGTGCGAGAAAGGCGGGCCGTGGTAGCGCGCCCTGTCGCTTCGGCGCGCGAGATGCGGGAGACCAGCGCTGAGCCCCACGTCGTCAGCTACAACGCTGGTGTCAGAACGTCCCAGAGAGGTGGGCAGTGGCAGCAGGCGTTATCGACAATCAGCGCGATGCGGGAGGCAAAGTCAGAGCCCGACATCACCAGCTGCGGCGCCGGGGTCGGCGCGTGCGAGACAGGCGGGCAGCGGCAGCACGGCTTGTGGTTACTCAGGAAGAGGTGTCGTCTGGCCACTGTAGCTGGGAGGCGATGCTGACGCCCGAGGAGCAGCAGCTATCAGCGCTAGGACCACCCTGCAAGAGAATTCAGCAGTGCCAGCGTGCCCTGTGGCAGATCGACAAGGTATGTGAGGCCACCCGCCTCTGTTGCAGCGCTGGGATCGTCGCGTTCGGGAACAGCCAGCAGCAGCAGCAGGACTGGGCTCCCAGCGCCAGGGAGTGCCACCTCAGACGGCAGAGACACGATGGCAGCGGCGGCGGCCCGTGGCGCTGCTCCGCGAGGTGCGGCTGCTGCTGGTGCCCGGCGTCGACGGCTGCTGCTCGAGGACCAGCGATGGCGAGGGAGGCGGGCAGCTGCTGTGGACCCCCGTCGCCGGCGCAGGAGCTCGAGAGGAGGCAGAGGGGGGCCCCGACGCCGGGGCCAGCCCGTGCGTGAGAGGCAGAAGGGGGCGGCGATCCGAGTATGGCCAACGGGGCGCGGGAGCTTGGTGCCACCGACCTCGGCGCAACTCAGCGACACCACATGGAGAGCTCTCGAAAGCGCGTCGTCTTCGGCGCGTCCTCGCCTTCGGCGGAAGCTGGTGGAAGGTCGGCGGGAGGTGGCAGCAACAAAACTGACTCGTCTACATCCTTGGGTCCTGGAGTTTGGAACGAACCACACACATCTGGACACACATGTATATATACATATATGTATATATACACATATATATATGTATACACACAAGACTGCAGTGGCGCTTCGCGCCATGCACCTTGGTCCTTGAAGTTTGGTATGCAGGCGGGATGGCAGGAAGGTCAAACCGACAATTTAAGTTAGCGATAACTCCTTGTTGCCTTTTCCAGCATCGCCGCTAAAAATGATGTGTTTCGTTATCCTTCCTCCATGCTTTTTTTTCCTCGTTCTCGCCATACCCTGCGCATTTTCCCCATCCTCCTCAGCTCTTTTTGCGGGGGCTCCTCCTTGGAGGGCCTCTGGGGGCCTCACAAAAGTTTCAAGCTTTCTTAAGGCCTTCTGGAGGCCTCCTGGGCGTGTTCTGGAGGTTCTGGGGGCTTCCTCGAGCCACCCTGCCTCAAACCGCGGTCTCCCTGAACAACCGGGTCACGATTTGGAATGCTTCGGAGACTGTCTTGGGGCCGTCTTGGGCCGCCATGGGGCTCTCTTAGGGCCATCTTTGACTCCTGTTGTGCCGTTTTGGGGCTCTCTTGAACTGCCTGGAAGCCCTTGCGGATGGTTGTGGGGCGATTTTAGAGCCTCCCAGGCGGCTTCGGACGCCCAGAAGACTGCCGCATTGAAGCGTTGGAAAGCCGAAAGTAGGAGAACCCCAAAATTCACCAACAACCGTTAGAAAATCAATCATTTTTGCCTCTTGGGGCCTTCTTGGGAGTGCTCTTGGAGGCTTTTTGAGGCCTTGGGGGCCGTCCTGGAGGCCTCTTGGGCCATCTTGAGGTCACGTCGGTTACTCTTGGAGCGCTCTTGTGCTGTCTTCGGGGTCTCTAGGACGTCTCCGATGACCCCCCTGATCGCCCTAGGTGTGCTGGGAAGGCTTGGCAAAACGCCCTGCGAGGCCCAAGGGCCGCTTCGAGGCCCGTCCGGAGGGTCCCAAGCCCCAGATTCTGGGAGTCCGTTTTTTTTTTTGGGTGGGGGGGTCCCCCCGCCCGGGCTTATAAAAATATAGGAAGAGGAATATCGGATGTCCGCACGCATTTCTTGGATCGGCCCCCGACTCCTCCCTGGCGCGCGGAGCGCGCCAAGGGCGGCGCCAGGGGCCCCCGACAGGGGCGGCGCCAGGGGCGGCGCTGGGGGCGGCGCCAGGGGTGGCGCCAGGGGCTGCGCCAGGGGCGGCGCCCAGGGCGACAGTTTGGTGAACGTGCCGTGGTTGATCCTTCTGTAGCCATCGGTCGTTGAAAGAAGGTATTGCTGCATTCCCAAAGTCCAATCTATTTGAAGCGCCTTGCTTCTTCAATGATCGAGTGGCTTCACCTTTTCCGTCCTCCCAGGGGGCGTGCGTCTCCCGACCGATGGGTATCCCCTTCCTTGCCCAGGCGCAACGTTAGGGAATGGCACAGGGGGGGTGCATCGAGCCCCGAGCGCCCACTGGCCGCCGACGGGGGCCCGACATCCCACCCCGCCCAGGAGCCTCTGGATTGGCTGTCGGGGGCCCATCGCAGCGCTATCGGCGATGTATATCGCCGACTCCAGGTCGGTGCTGCCCCTGCGAGCCGGTCCCCATCCGTCGCTGCCCCTCTGCCGCCGCTCAGGAGAGAGCCACACACGGAGACACGAATCATCGCCTGCTCCTGGAAAGATGCGGAGCATGCGGGAGGCGGGGGGAGGACGAGCATCCAGGAAGCACGTCGGGAGATAGGGAACCCTGGGATCTGCGTCTCGTTCTCCGTGTGTCCCTGGGGGCCCTTCGCAGCCGTCGCTGCCCCTCTCTGCCGCCGCGCCGCTCCCTCTGCGCCCCGCGGGCGCCCGGAGGGCGGGACTCACCAGAGGCCCGGGCGCGGCCGAGGGGGCGGTGCGCGCGCTGCTGCTCCCACGGCGGCGCGGGTGGGCGGGGCGGGCGTGCTCCTGTTCTCGGGGCGGCGGCCCTCCGTCTGGTGCCCGCGGTGCGGGCGGAGGGCAGCGAGGCGGGCTGGCGCGCGGCGCTGCGCCGGCGGCTGGAAGCGCGGCCGGGGCCGCGGGACTGGGCTGATGCGGCGCAGCCCAGGGTTTGGGCTGCCGCCGGTTTGACTCCCCCTCCCCCCTCCTCCTCCCCCCCCCCTCCTCCCGCCCCCCCCCCTCTTCTCCTCCCTGCGTTTCGCCACGGGTCTCGCCTGCGCTTGTGAGACGGGTGTCTCTGCTCTCGGGGCGGACGGCGGAGTGCGGAGTTCGGGCTCTCCTCGTTCTCCGGCCCGCGTGCCGTCTCCGCCCCTGCTCCCTGCTCGTCGTCCGTCCTCCCTTTTGCCCCCGCCCCCGCCTCGCCCCGCCGGCCCCAGCCCCCCCCCCCCCTGCCTGCGCTTCCGTCGCCTGCTCGGCACGAGGGAGACGGGGTCCTGGATGGGAGAGCAGGACGTGCGAGGCAGCCAAGATCAGAGCCGAGGGATCGAAGGATGTGACTTCTGAGTGGTCTTGGGTCCTCTTGGGCTTCCCAGGACGCCCTCGTGGTCACGGCTGGGTTCGCTTCAGAGCTCCAGACGCAAGGAGTCGAGGCTGTCGGCATGAAGAGAATAAGAGTCAGGAGAGAATCCTAGACACAGACGCACGAACCCCAGAAAAGTATAGAACATGGGGGGAGACGGGCACCCAAGATGGGAAATACTGGCCACCTTCAGAGAGGTGGCCTTGGAGGAAAAGAGGCCCTGGAGGTGTTTTCGCCGTCGTCGGGCTCCCAGGTGCCCTTCCTTGGCCCCGAGGGCCGTCAACCGGAACACTCGGGGCGAAGAGGTGGCCGCGGGGGGGGGTCTCCAGTAAGACGAGGCCAGGAAAAGGATAAATTACAGTGAGGATAAATCGAGAATCTCTGAGATTTGGCGGCTCTGGAGAATGTATCGGGCACCGCGGCATTCTCAGACCGTTCTTGAACGTTCTGAGAGCGCTTTGGGACGTTGTAGAACGGATGCATCCTCGTCGCAGCCCCGTCCTATCCAGGGGCCAAAAGCCCTTTCCCATCAGGACCCCTTCCCCTCCTGCCGATCCTGCTTCTCACTCTCTATCTTTCTCTCGGTCTCCCTCCCTCTCCCTCTCTCTCTCTCTCTCGCTTTCTTGAAGTTCTCTCTCTCTCTCTCTCTTTCTCGCTGGGCAGCGCAGCCTGGCTCAGCGCATGTACGGTGCCCCCTCTTTCTTCCACCGTGGAGAGGTCCACGGGCTGAGCTTATCTCCGCCCAGACCTCTGACCCTGACGCCTGGCGCTCGGGCAGAGCGCGCGCTGCCCACACTGCCGCGGTCTGAAGGGCAGGCCTCGTCCTGCGTCACGCCGTTCACGAACAAAAAGCGCGCAGGTCAGAGGAAGTGCCTAGAAACCATACCCATCGGTCGTTGAAAGCATGTATTTCTGGATTCCTAGAACACAATCTACTTCAAGCGCCTTCCTACTTCAAGAACCGATGTGCTTTTGCTGCGTTTGTTACTCCTGGGCGGGCCCGAGCCCAGTCTACTTTATCCGCCCTCCTACTTCATGCTTCTATCTACTTCTTCGGGTCGATGGGCACAAGGAACCAACAGCGTCCTCAGTCATGAAAGCCACGATACTGGAAAAAGGACCGCGCTGATTCTCGGGCCGCTTCTTGGATCCAGGCTGGGGAACCTCTGCTCGTTGGCCGCGGCTCGCCATAGCCAGAGAAAAGCCGCTTTGCTTCTCAGCTAGCGCCCCCCATGGTTTCATGATTGCTGTATCTTCCTCCCATTTCTCCTGCAGTCAACCCGCATAAGAAGGCTGGGCAACTTTCCCAAGGGTGCCCCTGCATCCTTGCCTCCTGACCTCCATCCTTGACCACTTTCGTTGGCCGCCTCCCGCTCGAGAAGCTTCGACATGGGCGTCCAAGGCCCTTGCATCCTTATCTATCGCGCATCCTTATGATACGGGCCGACTGTAACTCCGCTCGCCTGGTCCACGCTGATACGGTCATACCCGATCCAATCCTCCTGCTCCTCCCGTCCCCCTCTCGTTGTCACGGAAGGCTGGGGGATTCGAGGTCAAAGGGTTTCCAGGTCCCCGCCGGTTGTTTGGCCTGGGTATGTGCTCCAGCAGCTGCACCTCGCCAAAGGCGTTCCGGGGGAGCTCGGATCGTCGAACGGCAGCCGGAGACTCAAGATACTTGCCCGAAAACCAGACGATTGTCCCCGGTGCAGGGTCCAGTTCGGCCTGGTCCATCCGATTCGATATATTGATGATGATGATGATGATGATGATGATGATGATGATGATGATGATGATGATGATGATGATGATGATGATGACGATGATGATGATGATGATGATGATGATGATGATGATGATGATGATGATGATGATGATGACGATGATGATGATGATGCCGATGATGATGCCGATGATGATGATTATGATGATGATTGTGATCTGATCCAGTTCGATCTGGTCAATCCGATTCGACATCGATTTCGGCTGGCTCGATCCGATTCGGTTGTGACCCTCTGGCGACGTGCGGGTCCACCCTGCTTGCACGGCGCTGCTGTGCGTCCTGGCCTGGCCTATTTGATTCGATCTCGACGCCGTGCCGATGGCGGCCCTATCCGACGCACAGTCTAACCGCGCAAGAAACCACCGCATCCAGAAGTTCGGGTCTCTTGTTGTCAGAACAAATAAGTTCTTTTTGTCTCAACGTAGATACATGGTTTTCAACTACTCATGCTTTGAGCCGCTGTTTTATTGCAGTTGTTGTTGGCAAGTGCCGCAAGTGCTTCTCTTTTCCGTGCACCACTTGTTCGTGAGGTTGCTGCCTTGCCACTTGCAGCGCGCTTCCCCTAGAGGTGCCCGTCGATGTGCTGGCGCGAGACCGAGTGGCGATTCTGCGCGTAGTTCGCAGTAGCTGCAGCGCGGTCGCTAAGTCATTGCAGCACTATGATTATTGCGACGCGTAGCGCCGTTGTTCGATTGCCAGCTGCACGTGTCCTGCACTGTTGGAACGGATGCCGTCAACTCAGCTTGTTCCTTCTGGGTGCGCGCCCCCCCCCGCTACCTTTCCCGTCTGGGCGGCGCGCTAATATTTTGGAACGTCGTTCCGTTTGTTTCGTCCAGCGCTTGCGCGTGCCAAATTTCTTGGGGCGCACTCATTTATTCTTGTCCTCTCGCCCGATCTCTTCTCGCTGCCTTTTCCCCTCCTCCATTTGCAATGTGATTCGTTGGTTTTCATTGCGCGCGTCTCAAAGGGGACTGCCTGGTCGGCCCGTGGTGGGCGCGATTTTGTTTACAAATCAGACGCATCGCGGTTGTTCGTAGAGAACGGTGTGTTTGCATCATGCCAATCTGCTCGCGGCATGTTCCGCGCACCGCCATTGCGAAATTTCGGCGTGGCGAGTTTGTGGGCGCCACCAAGAAAACCGCAACGCGTGACAGATCGTCGCCCATCGCCGTGAGGGCCGCAGGGGTTCCCGCGTCGTTTCGGGGCGTAGTCTCTCGTCTTCTTCGTCGCCCTCCCCCCTTCCCCCGCCCTCCTGTTGTCACTCCTCCCCCACATCCACTTCATTATCCTTCCTTCTTCTTGTCTCTCTTGGGTTTCTCATGTGGCACGCTTGGGCCGTAACAGGGTGAGGGGGCACGGGGAGGGGTAAATCTCTTCCCCGAAGGGAGAAGGGCGCTGGAATAGGAAACGCTCGAAGCCACTGACGCCCAGAGGGCTGTTTGGGTTACCAGTGCTACTACTGCGACTCTTACTCTCGTTATTCCCATTATTTCTATTGCGGTTGGGGTTTTGTTCGGTTGTCTGGGGGGCTTCTTGGGACACGCTTGTGCCGACTTGGGGCTCAGCGAGACATCTCGGGGCCGTCGCGGGCCGTCGTGAACTCCCCGGGGCCTGTTGGTGCCATGAGGGGTCACGCCGACCTCCGCAACGGTTTTCTTGCCCTGCCTGCGGGTTACCACGTGCAGTGCAGGTGCGGCTGCTGTGGCAGCAGAGGCGCCTTCAAGTCCCGGCAGAGGAGATGCTCCGCGTTCCCAAGCGGGGTGGCTGGCTGGGGGGCCTCCGACGGGCGCCCCGGGACATCTGAGTTTTGCCCCCCCCCCCCCCGCTCCAAGAAAACATTGTGGACGTGAGGAAGTTTCAGGACCCTGAGCAAAGCCTCTCTGGGGGGCCTCGATGGCCCCACAGCACTCGACAGCTGCCGACCCACCGAATTTGATGGAGAAGTCATGGGGTCCTTCCCTATGAGTTGGGTGCCCAGCGGTCCCACAATTCAGGGCCTTACGTGGGTCCTCGACGGGCACAGGCCCCGCAGGTCCCACAGGTCTCACAGGTCTCACAGGGGTCCCACAGGTCCCACATGTCCCACGGGCCCGCAGTTCCCACAAGTCGAACAGGTTTCGCAGGTCTCGCAAGTCCCACAGATCCCGCAGAACCCACTGGTCCAATTTAGTCCAACAGGTCCAACAGGTGACGCAGGTGTCACTGGACCCACAGATCCCGCAGGTCCCACATGTCCCACACACACCCTGGCCCCACAAGTCTCGCAGGCCCCGCAGGTCTCGCAGGTCACAGAAAAAGCGAGGTACGAGTGATGACGTTCTGGTGTGGGCGAAGCCCTTAAGGAGGGGGGTCCAGGGGGGGGGCGTAGGCCGAACAAACGGGTTGAATTGCCGTTTTGGGCCGTTTCCCCAAGGTTTTTGCATGTTTTTCCGGGTTTCCCCCCAAGACGGCCCAAGAGCGCTCCAAGAGAGCCTCAGACGGCCCAAGAGGCGTCCAAGGGGCGTCCCCAGAGGGCCCCAAGAGGCCAGAATCATTGTTTTTCCTTGGGGCAGCACGCATTTTTAGCATATACCGGCTTTCACGGCGTTGACGACGGCCCAAGAGGTCCCCAAGACCGCCCCACGACGGCCCAAGAGGGCGCCCAGGCAGCCCACGAGGCGCCCAAGACGGGCCCAGAGGGCCCCAAGACGGCCCTAAGAAGGGGACCACGAGCCGAAAAGTCAGCCTTTCGCCCGAAGACGCTCTCCGGAGGCCCCGAGAGCCCCCCCACGAAGCCCCAAGAGGCCCCCAAGGGGCGTCCCAGGAGGCCCCCAGGAGGCCAAATTTATTCAATTCCTATGGGACAAGGTACATGTTTACCGTGCACGGCTTTTCGGCGTCCACGGCGTTGAAGACGGTCCAAGAGGCACCCAAGACCGCCCCAAGACGGCCCAAGAGGCCCCTAAGAGGCCCCCAAAACGGCGCAAGAGGCGCCCAAGACGGCCCAAGAGGGCCCCAAGACGGCCCCAAGAGGGGGACCACGAACCGAAAAGTCGAGCATTTCGCCCCGAGAAGCTCCCAGGAGGCTCCCAGAGCCGCCCAAGAAGCCCCAAGACGCCCCCAAGAGGCCCCCAAAATGGCTCCGAAAGGGCCCCAGTAGGACTCCCAAGAAGGCCCAGAGACGCCAACTAGAGAGCGATCGGTAACGCAAAAAGCTCTTCACACCAAGGCTTCCAAGAGCGAACGGTGACGTTAACAACCTGATAAGACCAAGGCTCCCAGCAGAGAGCGGTGACGTAACAAGTTCCTGACACCCAAGGCACAGCCAAGGCTCAGGAACGGGCGGCAACGCAACAATCTCTGAACACCAAGGCTCCCAAGAGCGAGGGGTGACGTAACAAGCTCTCAACGCCAAGGTTCCCGGTACGAACGGTGGTGTGAGTAATTTCGGCTTCTGTTTCCGAAGCGCTCTTTCCGTTTCTGTGCCGGGCCAGGTCTCGCAGGTCTCGCGGGTCTCGCAGGCCCCGCAGGTCCCACGGCTCGCACAGGTACCACGGGTCCCACACGTTCCACAGGTTCCACAGGTTGCACAGGACTGGACGGTCCCACGGATCCCGCAGGTCCCACAGGCCCCGCAGGTCTCGCAGGTCTCGCAGGTCTCGCAGGTCTTGCATGTCCCACATGCCCCACAGGTCCCACAGGCCCCGCAGGGCTCGCGGGTTGATCAGGTCTGGTTCTCGGGTTGTTGCCTGGCGCGCGCAATTGCTTGATCTGCGCTGCAGTGTTGATGGGCCATGGGCCCAAGTGCGAGTCGCTGCTCGGTAACTTTGGATTTCCGCCTGGTCGGGATTTTTTGCGTGACTTTGCGGAGGCGGCGGCTTCCATCGTGGTCACATTCCGATCCGACGCGGTTTCCCGACGCGATGCTGGCTGATCTTGCCCCGGGCCGCAGGAGCAGGCCTCGCGCATCGTGGAAGACCTCGACGGCCAGATCGTACCGCGGGGGGCCCGGGGGGCCCAGGCGTCCGGCGCCCTGTTTCCATTGACCCGGGCACTGGTATTCACGATGTTTGCGGCATCGAGTGGGCCTTCGCGGGACCCTTGGGCTGTCAGAGAACGATTCGCCAGCCCGGGGATGCGATTGGGATTTGGGATCCCCGTGGGCTCCGCATTGAAGAAGTCAAGGTTTCCGAAGGGTGTCTTGCGATGGACAAGTTGCCAGGAAGGAGTTGGTGGCCCCTTGCCTCCCGCCGTGGAGGGGCGGCCAGAATTCAGAGCTGAGGGATGGAAGGATCTGTTTTCTTGATGCTTTTCGGGCCTCTTAGGGTGTGTTGAGACGCCCTCGTGGTCACGGCTGGATTCGCTTCAGGTTTCCTCCATCGTGCGGGCCGATTGTGAGGCTTTCGGAGTGCACGGAGATTGGAGGCGGTCTTGGAGGAAGCCGGGTCCGAAGGCTTTTCGCCCTCTTCGGCCTCCCAGTGCCATCCCTGGGCCCCGGGACCGTCGAGAGCTGGGGATCCGTTCGGACCACCGGGACCTTCCCCGCTGATGCCACAGGTGAGCACGTGTGGCCACTGCAGGCAGCAGGGTCGCAGGCTGGAGAGAGGGGGGCGAGCAGGAGTGCGCCGGATGGGGGGCGGGGGGGGGAAGGATGATGATGATGATGATGATGATGATGATGATGATGATGATGATGATGATGATGATGATGATGATGATGATGATGAGGAGGAGAGGAGGGAGGAGGAGGAGGAGGAGGAGGAGGAAGAGGAGGAGGAGGGGGGGGTAGAAGCAGGGAGCAGTGGGGAGAGGGAGGGGTGGGGGGTGGACGAAGAAGAGGAGGAGAAAGAGGAGGAGTAGGCATAAGAGGAGGGGCTGGGCCGCGCCGATGCTGCAGGACCGCTGGAGTGGACGCCAAGATGTCGGTTTTTGTGTTCGCTTCGCCTCGACCTGTTGTGCGGCGCTGGCGCTTCGGGGACCCCTCCGCCTTCATGGCGCCACGTGCGCGGAGCCACAGCTGCCAGCGCTGATGCCAGGAAGCGCACTCCAATTGTGTTGCTGGCCGGGCACTACGCATCGCATGGTCACCGCCATCGGTAGGAACTTCTTTCCGAGTGTGCTGGCTTGCTCATGGCGCACATCGCCTGACCAGCAGTTTTTCGCGATGAAGCTCACTCCATGCGTGCCCGCTCTCACGCCATGACCATCTCGATGCCAGACCTGGCGTCAGGAAGCTCAGTCCGAGCGTGCCCGCTCGCTTCCAGCACGCCTTGCGTTGCTCGGAAGGGCTGGCCGGGGTTGGCTCTGGCCAGGGGGTGGGCGACGGCAGTTCTTAGATAAGCCTTTACTTCTATCGCATATAGTAGCAGGGCTCCGCGGTGCGAGCGTGCCCACTGGCGCGCCCGCTGTTCTCCAGACGCACTCGTCGCAACCTGCTAGTCCATCTCCTCCTCCTCCTCCTCCTCCTCCTCCTCCTCCTCCTCCCTTCTCCCTTCTCCCTTCTCCCTCCTCCTCCCGTCGCCCCTCCCCCCTCTCTTCACCGGAGCGAAGCTTACAAGCAGCGACATCGACAACGACAGGGTGGGCGGCTCGGCCTGTCGGATCGTCTGCTCCCCCTCCCCCCCGCTCTCCAGCATGCCGTCGTGTATTCGTAGGCGCCGTGGTGCCACCGCCGGGCCCCTCGTAGGGCCGTCTCGCGGGACGAACAAGAGAAGTGTGCAGTGTCCAGGGCCCCCCCGCATGTTGCCCCCCCCCCTTCTCTATCCGCCCGGCCCTCCTCCTCATCATCATCATCATCATCATCATCATCATCATCAGCATCATCATCATCATCATCAGCATCATCATCATAATCATCATCAGCATCATCATCATAATCATCATCATCATCATCATTATCATCATCATCATCAGCATCCTCCGCCTCCTCATCATCCTCATTTTTCTCGTCGTCATCGTCGTCATCATCATCAACATCTTCTTCATCATCGCTATCATATTCGTGATCCGTTTCTTCATCATCACCACCACCGCCGTCGTCATCATCAGCACCATCATCGTCATCATCTGCATCATACATCCCATCCTCACCATCATCACCATCATCACAATCACCATTATCATCATTTTCATAATCATCGTCATCATTGTCATCATATTGACCATCAGCTTGCATCATTGTAAGCATCAGTGTCATCACCATCGACATAATCGTCGTCATCATCATGTTTTTGCATCAGCATCAACATCATTATTATCATCCTCATCATCATCATCATATTCATCGTCGTCATCATCATCATCATGATCATCATCATCATCATCATCATCATCATCATCATCATCATCATCATCATTATCAGTAGCGTCAGCATCATCAGCATCGCCCTGGTCGTCGTCGCCAGTAGGATTTTCAGCATCATTACCATTACCACGATTATTATCAGTGCCATTATCCTTATCATTACCAGTAACAGTTTCATTCTCATTGGCTTCATATTCACCAGTTCCAGTATCAACAGGACTGGCATTATCATTGTTATTATCCGTAGTATTGTTATCATGTCTTATTATGATTGTTGGCAGTACCAATGCCATTACCAGCATCGCTACAGTTATGTGTATTACGACCACTCCTTGTAATAGTTACCAACATTACTCGTACCATCTTCGTGTCCAGTGCCCCCCGCCCATCTTGTCGAAGCACTGCGAGGAGAAGCGCTCAGTGTTTGCCCTTTGCAGGCCGATTCCAGGCCTCGTGCGCGAGTGGAATGGGCTGCCATAAGCGAGCGACCGGGTTCTACGGCTAGGAGGAAGAGGGAGGATGAGTTGGAGAAGAAGGCGGTGGGGTATGGTGGAGGAGGGAGGAAATGGGAAGGACGAGGTGGTTAAACATATTTCTGCATGGTGATGGGAGGAGGAAGAGGAGCGCCACGACGAGGAGGAGAGGAAGGCAGTGTAGGAAGAGAGGGAGGAAGAAGGGGATGCGCATGGTGATCACAAGGCTGAGCCGAGGAGGGAGGAGGATCAGAAAGAGCGGCAGGAACAGAAGGCAGGAGGCAGGAGGAGCAGGAGTAACCACTGGGGAGGAGGAACTGCAGGAAAAGGATGAGGATACGTAGAGGGAGCAGGATAACGATACTGCTGGTGATGATGGTGGTGATGATGACGACAGCAAAGGGGGAGGCAGAGTAAGATGATGTGGATGTCGAAGGGGAGCTGCAGGATGCGGGGTTGAAGGAGGATGATTATGGGCTGGGAGGAGACGGAGGTAGTTCTGTGAGGGGTGTCGCAGGTGCCTGGTCTGGAAGAGCCCATCAGCTGCAACTACGCGAAGGCATGAACCATTTGTCCACCTGCCTCCGTCGTCGCTATCGTTGCTATTCGTCTTTCCTCCCCCCCCTCATACCCCCTCCCTACCTCCCTCCTTGTCCCTCCTCTCCCTTTCCCTTTCTGTCTCTCTCTGTCTCTCTATCTCTCTCTCTCTCTCTCCTTTCGTTGGCTCTCTATTAATAGATCCCTCCCCCTGTACATCCCTCTCGCTTCCCCTTCTCTCTCTCTCTCTCTCTCTCTCGGTTGTTTTCACTCTTTCCCCACTCCGCCTCCTGATGCTTACTGGTCGATGTCATGGCCTCCTCATTCTTGCCTCCTCGCCATCATCGCTCATCATCTTTCCTTTTCCTCCTCCTCCCCTCATCCTCCACCACCACCGACATTTCCTCCTCCTTCTCCTCCTCCTCTCCTCCTCCTCCTCCTGGCTCGCGACGTGTGCGCGCTCGCCCAACTCCGTGGCGATGGCGACTGGGCCGCTCCGCTGACTTGGATGCCGACGGCTGGTCTGCCCCCGCCTTTAGCGCGCCCCAGGCCTCCTCCCCCTCCTTCCCCCCCCCTCCCCCTCCATCGAGCACGCACCTTGCGAAGCCGCGCGTCGCGGCATCACCCCCTCCCGCGACGCTCCAAGAGTTCTGGAGTTCGCCATGTCCCAGCTTGTACAACGTCGGCGGTGTCATATTTTCTCCGTCTCATGGCTCGCGTGTGCACGTGGCGGGGGGCTGGCTTGATTCCTCTCATCCCCTGAATCTGCAAATGGATTGAAACAACCTAGTATTACGGGAGGTGTCGTGCCACAGCTGACAAGCAGCTACGCTCGTCGGGCAAGCCGTGCACACACCGCTTGACCCCCACTGGTAGAGTATATCTTGATAGAGTTAACAAGGTCCTCAGCAAAGCCGAGAAAGCCCTGATGGGGGCGTGGGTAGTCCAACGGTTGATCGAACTGGCTTCGCCACTGGTTCCTACTCCTACTCCTCCTCCTCCTCCTCCTCCTCCTCCTGAGCCTGATCGGGGGGCCCAGTGGGGCTCACTCGGGCCAGGCTCTGCGACACGCGGGCAGGGCCCTGGCGTCACTACGTGGCCAGGGCGCTTCCGACGAAGAGTTATGTGGCACAGTGTCTCCCCCTATCGGAATCATCAATCACGAAGGACATGCATGTGCTGGTCAAGCTTTTCAGTATACCTGGGAACGCCTTTGGGTACATCGGTTTCTTCTGTCCAAGAATCCAGGGCGGGCCGAAGCTTCGCTTCCTCTGCTGCATTACGAGGTCCACGCTCGTCATGTCGGCGCTCTGTACGCGTCCTAACTATGTGAATATGGCAGGCGGTGTTCGCCAAATTTTCGCGAGATGGACCCATCGTTGTTTTCGTCAAGTGTTCGCCAGATGGGCCAATCTCCGGTCGTTGAGGGATTTCGCTGGCAAGTCATCGCCGTCGCATTGGGGGGGGTGAGAGGTGTGTGGGGGAGGAGAAATGGGAGGATAAAGAAGATCAGGGAAAAAGGAGGAGGGGAAGAAGAAGGAGGAGGAGGAGGAGGAGGAGGAGACGCAGCAGGAGGAGGAGGAGCAGGAGCAGGAGGAGGAAGAGGAGGAGGAACAGGACGCGGAGAAGCACGCGAACCCCCCCGCGCAGGCCCCGCGCTCAGAGCGTGCCCAGGCGATCGCGGAACACGGCGGCGGCGAGCGCGCCTCCGGGGTCAGGGCGGACGCAGGACTGGCGAGCACGCGCGTCTCCTTGTTCGCTCTTTTCCTCTGCCGTTCTGCGCCAGCTACGCGTAAGAGTGACCCTTCGCCGGAGTGACCGTTGGTGTGGGCCCATTGCGGCCCGCTGATCGCCGGACGCGATGCGATAGTGGCGTCTTGCGCGCTCGTGCTTCGTCCCCCCGCGGCCCCGAGAAAGCCGCGCACCAAGAGTCCTTCTTGCATAGGGTCACTCCTTGCGTGTGGCCGATCTGCGCCATCGCATACTCCGTCCTTGCTCCTCTTTTGTTCGTTCGTCTACTGCGTCCTGCTCGCATTCGAAGATACTCCGTCCTGCTCGCATTCGTCCACTGCGTCCTGCGTCTTTGTTCGTTCGTCTACTCCGTCCTTCCTCTTTGCTCCTTGATGCTCGTCCTGCGCGCAGTCGAAGATGGAAGGAACAGGCGGAAGCGTAAGCCGTTGGAGCTCCACGCGGATCTCTCGGACCTGCGCTGGGCACCCCCGGCGGCGCCTCGGGTGCCGCCCCTGGGCGCCCCGCGCGCGCCCGGGGGGGGGGGGCTCCGCGCATGTCCGAGGCCTCTGCGCGGAGCGCCAAAAGTCTATGCTTTATGCAGCTCTTGCCGCCTCTGCTCCTGCCTTTGCGGCTGCTCCCTCCCCGCTTCTCGGCGGCTGCACCTCTTGCGGCCCCCCTTGGCTGCCGAAGGCTCCTTGTGCCTCGGCCTTGCCTGTGCGATCGAGCCCGTGCTCTTGCAGCTCTGCCACGGCTGTAGGCTCGGCTTGCAGTCTCATGGTAGCGTTGCGCAAATCCGCCAATGATCCCTATCTGGGATCTGTTCGCGCTCTCACTGTATCCCATTTCCAACCCCCGACGCCGTGATTTTGTCGACCCCCAGAGGTCTGGACCACTTCCCCAGGACCAGCTATTCCTCCTGAGTCGTTTTCTGATCGTCCCGAGGCCCGGTCAGGGCCTCGAGAGGCCGAAATAGCGAAAAACCTCCCGTAGTGATGTTTTGCAGGACGCGAGCATGTCTGGGATTATATCCCGTATCCTGGCTCCGCGCTCCTCCTCAGAGCGCGTCCTCGGTTCGGATCCGTTCTGCGGCGTGATTTCGCCATGCCGCGCCATGATCTACAGCGGAGGCCTGCCCACAAGAAACCGTCTCCACAAGAACCCACCTCTGGAACCCCAGGACGTCCATTGATGTTTGGTATGGGAACGCCACGCGTTCCACAGCAAGACCATCGAAACCCAGGAAACTCAGGTCAGGAGTGAAAAAAAACACAGACACAATTAATCGTCGATTCCCCAGAAAATATGGGAAAATATGGGAAGTGGGGGGGCAGACAAAAACCCAGAAAATATGGGAAAATATAATATAGGGCATCTTGTTATTTGTGTGCATGTATTTGTGTGTCCCAGGGCCCCTTCATCAGGGCACCCTGGAGGCCAGTAGGGTGTTTCTTGCCTTGGGCACCCACTGTACCCGCTGCCGTGGTGTGCCGCGCCGCGTGTTGCCGCGCCCTGGCCTTCGGCCCACGCGTAACCAGACCACAGGCTCGCGCCGCGCTGACGCGGCAGCGGCCCCGGTCTGCGGGGTCTAAGGTCGCACGCCGTCGTCGTCGTCGTCGTCGTCGTCGTCGTCGTCGTCGTCGTCGTCGTCGTCGTCGTCGTCGTCGTCGTCGTCGTCATCGTTGTCGTCGTCGTCGTCGCCGTCGACGGCCGGCGTCGTCGTCGGCCGGCGTCGTCGTCGTCATCGTGCCCAAGAGTCGGCTGGCATCGAGCGCTCCGCACGGGGCTAAGGCGAGGATGCATCCGTTCCCGCGTTCCAGAACGCTCTGAGAAGGTCGTGGCCGGCAGCCCAGAGATCCCACGCTCTGAGAAACATTGGAGCGGGCGGCTGTTGGCCAATTGCGGCCTCGCCAGTCTCCAGGGGTCAATTGCGGCCTCCAGGGGCCCTCGCCGGTCTCCCGGGAACGTAACAAAAATGACTCAGGACGAAAAACATCGGCCTATAGGGAAGTGGTCGAGACCTCCGGGCACCCGCATCGAGCAGAATCGGAGCAGCCGGACCAGGAGGGTGCTGCGACCGTGCACGTCTGTGTAGATGGCCTCGCTGGTGCCACGCGCTCTTCCGAGGGGCGGGTCTCTGAAGCTGCTCGCTCGCTCGCTGCCGCTGCCTGCTCGCTCGCTCGCTCGCTGCCGTCGCTGCCGTCGCTGCCCTCCTCCCTCCGCCCTCCCCTGCCTCCGCCTCCGCCGCCGCACCAGCCGCCGCTTCGGCGCCTCCTCGTGCCTTCGCGCAGAGCACTCGTGCACTCGTGCGCGGCTGGTTCCACTGCAACGCCCAGCAGAGGCCACAAGAGGGCTTATATCTCACCCAGCGTGTCCGCGAAGAGCACGCCCGAGCGGACACAGCACAGAGCACGCCTCCGCCTCCTCCGCCTCCTCCTCTGCACCCGGGGGGGCGGGGCCCCCGCCTGCGCCCTCTGGGGGGGGGCCTCCCGCCGGTGCCTGGCCCGCTCCTCTGGCTGCTCATGGCCGCCCCTGCGCCGGGCGACCTCTGCGTGGCTGCTGCTCCGGTGCCTCGGGGGCCTCTGCGTGGCCGCGCGGTCCGGGGAGGAGGGCGTCTCCGAAGGGCTCAGGCGACCCCCCCTCCTCCTCCTCCTCGTCCTCCTCCTCCTCCTCCTCCTCCTTCTCCTCCTCCTCCTCCTCCTCCTCCTCCTCCTCCTCCTCCTCCTCCTCGTTCTCGGGTCGCCTACGGCCCCGGGGGAAACCGTACAGGTCCCATGCGTGGCTGCGCGGTCCAGGGTTGTCGGGCGACGAAACCTACGCCCAGACATAATCGCGTCCTGTTAAAGCCACGACGGGAGGTTTGTGGGGCCGTTTGGGGCCCCTGAGGGCCCTGTGCCGGGCCCTGAGGTCGCCAAAAAGCGATGTAGGGTGAAACACCGATTACGGGGAAAGAGTCGGGATTTCTGGGGACCCCGCATTGAAAAACTCAGGACGTCGCATGTCTGGGTGCATCTCCGCCGCTCCCTGGCCAGGCCTGACCTGAACCCAGCAGCGGTGCACACGCCACGCCCTCCTGGCTCGGCCAGGAGGGCGTACATACACAGCTCCTGGGCTCAGGACGGGCCCGGCCAGGGAGCAGTGGAGATGTATGGGTCTCGTGGCCCTAGGCTGTTGGGTCGAGGGCCCAAGCCGACAGGCATCGACGCGAGCCTCTCTTCCCGCACCTCCGGCGCTCCGCGTGTTCTGTGCGAGGCGTGGCTCCTCCCGGACCTCCTCGTGGCCCCTCCCCGCAGGCGCCGGCCCCTCGTCCCGACCGCTGGGGCTCCCTTCTGGTGCAGTGGAGACCCATGCCAAGAGACACCCTGCGTGCCTCCAGGGTGCCCTGGGTGTCTTTGGGTTTCGATGGTTCTGCCATGGAAAGCGTGGCGTTCCCGCACCAAAAGTCCATGGACGCACTGGGGTCCGAGGGTCGGGTTTCTTGTGGAAGGTTTCTTGCGGTCGAGCTCTTCTGGTGTGCAGCGTGCCCAAAACTTCGCTGCGAAGCCAGCCCTCCTGGGGACGAGAAGGCCCAGGAGCAGCCAACACGCATCAGTGAAACCGTCGTTCGTCTCTTCGAGCCTCGGACTCTGATTTTTGTCGAGGCGCTGGGCGTCTGTGTCTTCTGTCCCCAGCTCGATCGCAGGCGGGCAGGCGGGCGAGGGGGGAAGGCTGCGTTAGAAGAGTGAGAGTGCAGGGCCGATTATTGTGTAGCACTGGCAGTCGAAGGAAGAGGATGGACGAGGAGCAGAAGCCGGGGGGGGGCAGGAGGAGCAGGAGGACGAGGGCAGAGGAGCAGAAGGGACGAGGAGAAAGAGGAGGAGGAGAAGGAGGAGGAGGAGGAGGAAGGAGACGAGGTGGATCAGGATGCAGAGGATGAGGAGGAGGAGGACGAGGAATGAGTAGGACGAGGAGGGGCGAGAAGGACGATCAGAAGGTGGGACGAGAAGGAGAAGCAGGAGGAGGGGGACGAGAGTGAGAACGACGAAGACGAGGGCGAGGACGATGTGACTATCAGGGGATGAGGGGGGGAGGGGAAGCCGAGGACGACGGGGATGCCCCCCCCCCCCCTGCAGGAGGAGCGCCGCACCACCGGGGCGCGGACAGCCGTGCCGACCACGGGGGCTACGGGAAGGCCCCGGCGGGAGGCGCCAGGTCCACGGGAGGACACTCCCGCCGATCGCTGCCCGCCTCCTCGCCTCGTTGCGGTAGGTTCGCGTCGTGTCGACCGGCGGCGACCCCGCCGCCAGCGCTCAAAATTCGGCGGCGGGCGAGGGGGGGACACGAGAAGGAGGAGGCCTCCTCGGAAGGCGGCGGGACTTCTCCGAAGCCCTCGCGCCTTCGGAGAAGATGTTGTTCAGTCTTCGGGGAAGGCTTAGAAAACTTCTGAGAAGGCCGGGGGACTCCCGAGCCTTCTGAGGATGCCCGCCCCTTTTCGTTTCCCCCCCGCGCTCGCCGCCAAAACATTGAACGCCGCAGGCGACCCAGAATCGGTCGATGTTGAACGATCTGACGTTTCGGAAACGGCCGATCGCTCAAGGTTGACCGATTCCCGCGGTGTCAGGAACCAGAACGCCGGGGTCGACACGACGCGAGCCTGCCGCACAGAAGCTCGGTGAATAACCTCCCAAGCACACTGCGTCACCAGGTGTTCGAGCGTTTTGCGCTCCTTCGGTGAGTCTGTCGCTGCTGTCGGTCTCACGGGCTCGCTGCTCGTCCCACAGGCGCAGCTGAGATGTCGCCTCAGGCGGGGCTCATAAGGACCTTCTATTTTCTCGGGCCGGGCAGTGCCAATGGAAGTCACCACTAGAGGGGGTCACCACCTCAAGTCGAGGATCGAGGAGGAGGAGGAGGAGGAGGAGGAGGAGGAGGAGGAGGAGGGAGGACCGAGGATCGAGGGGAGTCCTGGGGTGGGTCTGGGGAATCCTGGTGAGCCAGTTTCCTGGAGGCGGTGGTGAACCCCTTGGTGATGTTCTCCCTTGGCCTTGCTTGGCGCGCGTCGGACACGGATCAGGATAGGATGCAGTCGGGTCGGGCTGAAGGCTTTCCAATTCTACCATCGATTCTTGGCGGTTCTGGGGACGCTTGCCAGCAGCCGCGCCTCGCCGAGGGCGCTCCGGGGGCACCCCAACCGTCCCGAATAGCCGCCGGAGGTCCGAGTTCTGACCCGACAGCCAGACGACGAGGAGCATCCAGGTCGGACGGACGAGGCGCGAAGCTGGCGTTGGCCCCGCCAGCGTGCGCTCTCCTCGGTGCACTGGCGGGACGCATGCGGGCGGTCCCACCGGCGGCTTCGGTGGCGCGCCCCATGGGGCCACGAAGCGGCGTACTGGGTGGGCGAATGTGCCCAATTGGGCGTGCGGGGCGCCTGCGGACGGTCCCACTTTACCAACCTCGCACTTGTCCCTATCCCTAAGATTGACACGCCAAAAGGCGATGACAATCTTAGGGATGCGCCCTCAAAAGATAGGGGAATCCCTAAGATTGGCATCGTGATGAGGAGATGCCCAGCATAGGGATAGGGATATGTTCCAGGCTGGTAGCCACTGGCCACGAAGCGCTGTACCGGACGTGGCGGGCGCGCGCTCTCCCCGCGCGACTGGACGCGCGGGGGGCTCCCTGTCGTCGTCGTGAGGGGAAGGGTCGACCACGACGGGTTCGGGCCGTGCTGGCGCGGCGGCGGCCCCAGCGCGGGCATGCCATGCCGAGCGCCGCCAGTGCCCAGGCTCGCCCGACGTCGAAGGATCTGCGTCTTCGGGGCGCCTTGATTCGGCGTCATCCCAACATACTTGTACAATATATGCGTCCATGCTTGTACATATATATATATATGCATATATATATATATATGTATATATATGCGTCGCCCCCCCCTCCCCCCCCCAGGGGCAACGCGCGCCCCGAGAACTCTTCTGGCACATCCTGCACGGTGCAGCGATCTCCGGCGCGGTGGCCCGAGGCCAGCGAGCACGAGTCGTCACGGCCAGGGCCGCGGCCGTTGCACGCACGGGGCGCCCTCTTCTTCCGGCAGGGCGGCCCTGCAGGTTGGTGCGGGGCCACGGGGCCCCCCCCGTGGAGAAAAGAAGCATTGTCTACGGTCCAAAACATCAACACCTTCATTCGCTTCGATCCCCTCTCGCTCCTGGTTCGAGAGGCTGGGCGCGGCCCGCACTCGCAGGTGCACTGGCTCGGCTTCGCCCCCCCCCTCCTCCCCAGCACCCGCCGCCAGCCGCGCAGCAGAGGTCACTCTTTGCCTGGGGCTCGTGGTCACCCCCTCGCGCTGCCGAGAGGGGTCCTGAGAGAAACGGGTCCTGGAGTTCTTCACCGTTCCTCTGGCTCCTGGGGCCCTGAAGAGTAAAGATTCGGAGTGGAACTCTGGTCCCTCTGGTCCCGTCTTCTCTTCCCGCCCCCAGGGTCCATGACCTGCCCTCGTCATGCCATCGTTTCTTCGCCCCCTCGCCTTCTCCCCCCGCCTCCCTCCTCCCCTGGCGCGCGGGCAAGCATATTTCGCATGCGAGTTGTCTCCCCCAGCCCCAGACTTTTCGTCGAAAAATGAGGCCAGTCAGAAAAGATGGAAAACCTTAGGATATACCCCAAAGAGTCCCTCGGACGCACCCCTGTAGGAGGATAGGCCCGACCTAAGGCTACAGCGCGCCCGGCACTGCGCCCAGCAGGGTGGCCGCCAACGCCCACGCCGGAGCGTTATCACAGCGATGAAGAAGGCGATGGTCCAGGCAGGCTACGCCGTGGACGGAGAACGCCACGTCCTGGAGCTGTACCGGTGGCAGCACCCAGACCGTGCTGCGGGCGGGGGGCGGCCGCCGACACCGGCGTGCGAGGAGGCGATGTTGGACATCGTCGCCAGCTACCCGGACGTCACAATCCGCTTGCCGCTCGCACTGCGCCCGGCGCCAGCGGGCAGGCAGGCGGCGGACCACGCTGGCGCCGCAGCGCGCGCCGGTGCAGAGGACAAGGCACGACGTTACGGCCCATCGGTGCTTGCCCTGTCCTGGCAGACGTTCGGCCGGCTGCACGCGGCACGCGCGGAGGTCCTCATGGAGGAGCTGGCGCGGCGTGCGGCCTCCGGCGGCGGCAGGGAACCCGTGCGCCTGGCGCGGGCGTGGCGGGCGGCAGCGGGAAGGGAGTTGTTGCACGCGGAGGCGGACGGCGTGCTGCTGTCTGTTAATTCGGAGGCCGGGCCGCACACAGCTGCGATGCAGGCTCCCTGGCTGGATGCCAGAGCCGGCGACGCCGAGGAGGGGGAGGAGGAGGAGGAGGAGGAGGAGGAGGAGGAGGAGGAGGAGGAGGAGGAGGAGGAGGAGGAGGAGGAGGAGGAGGAGGAGGAGGCGGAGGAGAGGAGGAGGAGGAGGAGGAGGAGGTGGATGAGGCAGCGGGCGGCGCGGCCGCGGATCGTCGTCCGGGCGAGCTCGTGGAGGAGCTTCTTGTCGCCGCGGCCGCCTGAGTGTCGGGGTCATAGTTCGAGGTTGTTTGGATTTCTTTTCAGGGCGTTCCATGATGCTGATGCTGATGCTGATGATGATGCTGATGAAGAGGAGGAGGATTAGGAGGAGGAGTAGAAGGAGGAGGAGGAGGAGGAGGAGGAGGAGGAGGAGAGGACAGGGAGCAGTCGGGGGCGAGGCCCAACATCTTCCGACGCCGCGGCTGTTCGATGCTTGGCCCGTGGCCTCCGTATCCCGGGGCCCCGTCGGGGGGACCTGCTTTTCATCCTCCCTGGCTTCGCATCGGCCGTACATGGGCGATCTCGCAGGCAGGGCGGAAATGCCCGCCCCACTTTCCAAGCTCCTCTGACGCCGATGTGCGCCTACCTCTCGTCGCTGTTTCCGCCATGCCTCTGCGAACAAGTCAGCCATGTTCTTCTGGGGCGGACACTTCTGGGGGTGCGTGACACAAGTTCGCATCGTGTGGGGGTCGCGTGACACAAGTTTCAGGATTGGAAACAACACACAGACACAACGAATCGTCGATCCCCAGGACAATATAGGAAAATGTGGGAAGTGTGTGTGTGTGGGGGGGGAGACCGAACCTGTATAACATATACGAATTTATACACATACACACATATATATATACATATATATATATATGCACACTTATATATATATATAGATTGTGGATCTTGGGATTTGTGTGTATTCAGTTGTGTGTCCCTGAGCTCCAAAACAGCGAATGATGTTCCTTGTGTTTGTTTGCTTGCAAGACGCTGGAGGCCTCAAGGGGACGAGGATCATGATGATGCTGAGGAGGAGGAGGAGGAGGAGGAGGAGGAGGAGGACGAGGAGGATTCCCTTTTACAGTCCTTAGGGCTTGAACGGTGTTCTGATCGTTGCATTTGTTCCAGGGGGTCCGCAGTGACGATCTCGAAGAGGGAGGAGGACGTGGAGGAGGTGGAGGAGGAGGAGGAGGAGGAGGACGCAGAGGACCCAGATCTCCGATGTCGTGTCTTTTTCCGCAACGTTGACCCCCAGATGTCTAGACCCCTTCCATGGGACCCGTTTTTCAAGTCCCGGGGTCTTGATCAAAACCTCCCGTCCAGTGTCTTAACAACGAGGGGAGGAGCCCTCCCCCCTTTGGCCCCAGGAGGCTGGCTGAAGCCCAAGGGCGCCGACACCGCTGGCAGCAACAGAGCGTCGCACCCGTATGGGGGCAAAGGCTCGATCACGCCGCCGAGCGTCGTCGCCGTCGGTGTTGTTCTCGCCGCCGCCGTCGCTGTCGTCTTCGCCGCGGCGTCAGTATACCTAGTCATCATCATCATCATCATCATCATCATCATCATCATCATCATCATCATCATCAGCATCATCATCATCAGCATCATCATCATCATCATCATCATCATCATCATCATCATCATCATCATCATCATCATCATCATCATCATCATCATCATCATCATCATCATCATCATCATCATCTTCGGGGGGGGGGGGGGGAAGGAGAGGGGGCGATGGAGGAGGGGGAAGGGGCAGAGGGGGAGAAAGGGGGGTGCGGGAGAGGAGGAGGAGGAGGAGGAGGAGGAGGAGGAGGAGGAGGAGGGCCTGATGGGCGCGGCCGCCAGAGCGCGAGAGGGACGTGCGTCGCTTCGCGCACGTGCGGTTCGCCCCTTCTGGGCGCAAAGACACACATCAGCCTCCTCTCCACGTCCGCCCTCGTTTGGCCCTGGAAGCGCTGAGGCACCCCGCGGCTCTCGGCCCCCCTTCCTACTCTGCCCGCGCCTCCTCTCAGATGTGGATCGACAGTCGAGGAGGATCGATGATACCGCGGAGGAGGAGGATCGAGGAGGAGGCTGAGGTTGAGGAGGAGGGGGGGGATATCGAAGAGGAGGAGGGCGATGGAGGCGATCGAGGAGCAAGAGGAGGAGCGAAGGGTGAGGATCGAGGTGGAGGACCACCTGAGCGTCGCAGCAAGTATCGCGACGGCGGGTTCCTTCTGCGCTTTGGGCCTCCGGAGAGGCCGCGTCCAGGTCGCGGGACAGATCAGGGCAGGCCCGCCTAGGACAAGGATAGATCGCTCTAGAGCGCTCTGGAACGCTCCAGCTTTCTGGCGCGCTCCGGAACGGCCGCGGCGCCCGATACGGTCGGACACCTCTGCTTGGCCGCCGGTCCCGGCCCACCGCTCCGTGGCGCGACACGCTGACCACGAGGAGGAAAATTCAAAAATAGTTTTACAAATAGTCAGGGGACGATGTTTTGACCATTTTTGAGTATTTTAGGGTATTTGTTTTACCATTTGTTTTTCCGTCCCGACTTAATCCCAGCCTCCCGCCCCGCGGAGCGGAGCGACACGCTAGCCGATGGCAGGGCATGGCGTTTCGCTGGGGCCGCCGCCCCAGCAGGCTGAGCAAAAGTTCCCGACCGCGCACTCACCGTCCGAACATTGTGGTGTAGGTGACGTACCCGATCTACAGGGGTTCGCTCCTGCCCTAAGCCGAACTACTGCAGACAACCATGGGCATCACAAGCTGTAGGCGATGTCACCACAGCGGCCGGCCATAACGGCATCTGTATAGCGGATCTCCGGGACCATGCGCGGGAGAGAACATTCCGAAGAAACCGAATACGCATTGAATTGCCCCGCCAATTTGCACCAAATTAGGTGTGCCAGCTGCTGCTTCCCGAGTCGGACCAAGGACAGAGCAAGCTCCGCCTGGCCCCCCAGCCGGGACAACTGGCCCCAGAGATCATAACACAATGGGGCCAGCGGAGGAAGCAGAGACCATTGGCAACCGCCAGACACTGTTGGCAGGCGGCCGCGGCAGCTGCTCGGCGCCCTTCCCAATTGCCGCTACCCTAGGGCAAAGTGGGACACAGCTAGACAAATGCCCCGCCGGATACTCCTCACTACACCTTTGTGGACGCATCAGTAGGCCGCTGGCGTGCGGGAGTGGCCAGAGAGGGGAGACAGCCCCAACCCGGCACGGACCGCACGCCCGCAAAGGCCAGCCCGATGCCACAGCGTACAGGGTAACGCCTTGGGGGGTTATCAGCAGGGTCCGATCCCTTTTCGCTGACCGCCACGGCAGTGTGCAAGGCCGCCGCCCGGCTTGCGCCAGGCACCCCCGACCGCGCACTCACCGCCCGGACCCGCTGGACCGCAGGTATCCCCGTCGGTCCCTTCCTTGTCCCAAGTTGTCCTTCCATATTGCCTTCGTCCTACAGCCAAGACGCTGAAAGGACCTCTCTGGGTGCAGGATGGCTCGCGGGTCAGAGTTCTCAGGGATGCTTCTTGGGGCCTCTTCGGATCGCTTTCGGGTGCACAGTTGGGAAGCAGTCATTGGGCCTCTTGGGAGCCTCTTGGGGCCCTCTTGGGGCCTCCTGGGGGGCGTCTTGGGGCCGAAGGCTCGAACTGTCCATTAGGTTTCGCCCTGTGGGCCCCCACTTAGGGCCGTCTTGGGGGCTTCTTGGGCCGTCTTGGGGCCCTCTTGGGCGGTTTGGGAGCCCTCTTGGGGGCCTCTTGGGCCGTGTTGGGGCGATCTTGGGGGCCTCTGGGGCCGTCTTGGACGTTGTGAAAGTCGGGCGAAGTTCATCAAAATCTACGCTGTCCGATGGAAACGAAGCGATTGTTGCATCTTGGGGCCATCTTGGGAGCCTCGTGAAGCGTCTTGGAGGCCTTCTGGGCCGTCCAGGGGCCCTCCTTGACCGTCTTGGGCGCTTGGTGGGAGGCTCCGCGAAGTTCTCTGGGTCGTTTGGGGCGTTGGAACCGTCCCGACGTCGGACGTTCGTATGTACACGAAGGTTATAGCCATGTCTCGTCGATCCGACGAGAAAAATTTAATTGGGCAAATCAAGTCTGCAGTCCATCCCCTACTCGAATGGATTCACTACGGCTCTAGGGTGCTTCGTCCCCGCCATCGCGCCACAGGGCATGAGCTCGGGGGGGGGGGCCCGCGGCGTGTCCTAACTGGACCTCCTGCGGCACCCGAGCCACCCTCTGCGTCGATCACGGACAAGCTCTTCCCGCCCCTGACCCCCGACGTCGTGATTTTTTGGCAACGTCGACACCCAGAGGTCTGAGTCTGGACCCTCTCTTGAGACCGGTTTTTTCACAGTCCTTGGGCCCGGTAAGGGTCACAGGAGGCCGAAAGTAGCGAAACACCTCCTGTCGTTCACAGCGCGAGGTTGTCTGGGTCCTCCTTCTGACCGAACCAGTGCCACCCCCCCCCTCCTCAGGAGGGGCGTGCACTGCTGGGGGAGGCTCGGGGCCACGTCTTCACTTGGGCTGCGGTGCCGTTGCTGAGGTGTCTGCGGTACTTCTCGCAGACGTGCCCTGATTGAGCCTCGGGGTTTAACAAAACAGTCCAAGACCGTCCTCTCTTGTTACGTTGAGGCTGGTCACTCTTTGCCTCCTCGTTCTCATCCTCCTCCACGCCTGTCCCTTCTATGAATGGCTTCTCCCTGTGGCGCCACTGGATGTGACCGTAGGCCGCGCAAGGCGTTCAGCAAGAGATGTTTTCACAATGTGCGATCCAGAAGCCCGCTGTTCCCCACGGTGGCACGGATGGAGGCCGGGTCTTTTTCGACATGCGATTCCCGCCTCAGCGCCGCAAGTATCGTCCTAAAATGCGTGCAGCAGTTGCTGGGATGGAAGCCGGTACATTTTCAACGCGGGGCTCACTCCTGAGACGTTTCTCAAGTTAGTACCCATCATCTGGATCATGTCGGGTGGATCAGATTTTTGCTCAAGGTGCGGATCTCGCATGAGACGTATTCGAGTTTCATGATTATGACCACAAATGCAAACATATGCAACATTCACTTGAGTGGGGGCAGTTGTTTTTTCAAAATCGGGTCTCTTTGGACACCTCGCTAGACTTTATGATGCTACATTGTCGCGTTCCAAATAACTCGCTGGACGGATTCCAGGCAGATCCTTTGCAAAGAGAGAATATCACCTGAACCAAAGGCCTATTGGGTGCTCGTCTTTCAGAAGGGCGCCTCTCGCACTGAAACGGGAGGCCTGTGGGGACCATATGGGGGAAGTGCTTGGGACGGGAGGGTGTATTGCAGTGCTGATGCGTACTGGGTTTGCCCAGGTCCTCCTCCCCAAGAGGAGGATGAGGAAGAGGAGGAGGATGAGGAAGAGGAGGAGGAAGAGGAGGAGGAGGAGGAAGGAGGAGGGAGGAGGGAGGAGGGCGGAGGAGGGAGGAGGGAGGAGGGAGGAGGGAGGGAGGGCGGAGAAGGGAGGAGGGAGGAGGGGGGAGGGAGGAGAGGCGAGGGGAGCGAGGAAGGGAGGGGAGGGGATGAAGGGAAATAATCGGCTGGCGGGGTGGAGGGAGGGGGAGAGACGTTGCCCATGCGCTCGCTGATCAGCCAGGATCGTCGCGTCTGGTATTCCTCTGCCTCGTCCTCCCCAGAGCTCTCTGGGGATCCCAGGCGACCTCTCTGGAGGTCTCCGGACATCACCTGGGGGGCACCCTGGAGGCTTGGAGGCTTCGGAGGGCCACAGCTGCCCTGAAAAGCCATAATAACCAGGCCCCTCCTCTTTCTCCACTCTCTTTTCCACCTCGCTCCTCGCTCCTCGCTCCTCCTCCTCCTCCTGCTCCACCTCCTCCTCTTCCTCCTTTCTCCACCCCCTCCAGAATTACACAATACGAATACTACTCTCCTCTCTCCCCTGGTGACGTCTGGGAAATGTCCGGCCCCCCTCCGCGTACGGTTTTTTTACACAGGATTCCTGGGAGTTAGGTTTTTTGGTTTTTGTTTCAAAAATGCTGCTCTCGCTGAAGCACTGGCCTCATTTTCGGGCTACCGCCCGTTCCGAATCGTGCTCCCGCTGCAGCGTTGGCCACATTTCCGCGCTTCTGCTCGTTCCGGATCGTGCTCCCCCTGCAGCGTTAGCGTCATTATTTCCAGCACCATGCCACGGCGTGGTTTACGGTCCTTCCAAATAGGCCCCAACATGCAGAAAATGCCCCTTCGAAAAAACCATCGGCAGTGATTCCACATTCGGTATCGATTCGTTGATTTTTGGGGTCGCAGAAGCCCCCGCGTCGCCACGCCATGCTATGACAGGCTGCGCTTTCTCCGAGTCGTGCTCCCTCTGCAGCGCTGCTCTCATTTCCGCGCTTCTGCTCGTTCCGAATCGTGCTCCCGCTGCAGCGCTGGCGTCATCATTTCCAGCACCATGCCAAGGCATGGTTTTCGGTCCTTCGAAATCGACCCAAACATTTAGAAAATGACACCCCGAAGCAACCATCGGAAGTGATTACACATTTGGTTTCGATTCGTTGATCCTTGGGGCCGGAGAAGCCACCCTACCCCCCACTTTGGGGCGTCGCCACGCCATGCTATGTCAAGCTACGCTTTGATCTTCAACACCATGCTATGCACTGCCACTGTATCCGACTGCGTGAATAGAGAGGAGATCTACGCCATGGTAACGGATGGGAGGGAGGAGATATGACGCGAGCGCGCCTAGCTTGTCCTCATCCTCCTCCTCCTGCTCCTCCTCTTCCTCCTCGTCGTCGTCGTCCTCCTCATCCTCGTTCATCCTCCTTCTCAGCCTCCTCGCCCTGGAAAGCCTCCTCCGCCTCCTCGCGCTTGCTCCTCGCTGCTCCTCCGCCTCATCCCCATCGCCCGGCGATAGGAGGAGGAGGAGGAAGACGAGGGGGAGGAGAAGGAGGAGGAGGAGGAGGAGGAGGAGGAGGGGGAGGAGGAGGAGGAGGAGGAGGAGGAGGAGAAGGAGGAGCAGGAAGATGTGAAGGAGGAGGGGGAGGAAGAGGAAATGGATGAGGTGGAGGAGGGGATGGAGGATGGGATGGAGGAGGAGGAGGAGGAGGAGGAGGAGGAGGAGGAG